CAAGTGTAAAATGCATTTGGGCAGGGCCTTCAGCTATCAGTTGTTCTAAATCTACAGTTCTTATGCATGTTCCTGAATGGCAGTAGAGCAGATCTGAAGAGTGCAAGATGACTCTGACATTGCTCTAGGGTCCTCCCTGTCATCAGTTAGCTGGAACATGGTTTTCATGGCTCAAAAATGACTAGACTATATTTGTTTCCTAAATCCTTTTCACTCTTATGAGTGACATTTTATGAATGACCTACAGTACCTCCTCCAGGAAGGCACAGTCCAAGGTTCTCTTTTCCAGTTCAACTCATCCATCACTTCATTCCTCTGCAATACAGAATGCTACCTCACTCTGACCTGTTTTTTCCACCTATGGATGCTCTAGATCATGACACTCTTGGGAAGGGAAAACACTGCCCAGAACATGGCATTTGGATAGCCTGTTTTCTTAACCCTTGGACAAGTTACTCAACTGTGGCATAGTGTTCGCCTTTAAACTGAGATAATGATGGTTCCTTGCAGAATACTCATAAGCACAAAAAAAGAAAATATGTGTAAAGCATCTAGTCTAGACCCTGACATCACGAGTGCTCAACAAACATGAAGTAACTTCTCTTTCTGAGTGAACTCTCTGAAAACCCTAGGGTAGGGCCTTCTGTATACTGAGCACTCAACAAATGTCAGGGTTGATTGACTGAAATTGCTGAATCATTGCCTTATCTATTAGACATCATCTTGCATTAGATACGAAAAGGAAATTATTACTCTGACTTTGCATGCAATGTCATGAAATCTACAAAGTGATTGCTCTGTCTTTTTCTAAAGTTAAGATTGACTCTAATATTTATTTTCCTGGATCTCTTGTATGTGTGAGTAAATACTTGTCTGAATTGGTATCACACTACTGTGTTTTCGGTTGACAGTGTGAATATTGTTCAATGTCACAATACAGCACTTTTAATTTTAAGAATATCAATTTACTCTGGAGAAAATATTTTGCCCATTTCTAAGAAGGCATTAAAAGCTAAATTTTCAAAGACAGATCCAATTTTTGTTTCAGAGTGAAAAATCTCAGTGTGGGCATTTATGTTTGCCTGTTTCTCCTTATTTTCTACCCCTTTACCAACAGCCCTGTTCCTAGTCACTCAGCTTCTCACGCTTCCCCATTAGAACAGTTCTCAAAGGGCACTGACTGGGCAACAGCCTAGTTTTTAGCCTCTTTCACTTCCTCTGTCTCTTCCTGTGTTCCAGGTCCTCAGGACTGCCAGCTGAATGCATAAACCACTCCAGGTTTCCAAATCAGCGTATCCTAATGGCATGTGAGAATTCATGGTAGCTCTTTGCTAGATATCTCTGAAATTTATTAAGGAAGGATCTGCTTGATAGAATTCTCTCATTCAAATGAATCATTTTTATACTGAAGATTTCAGATCCTACATTGGCTGATAAATAAAAGACTTTGAACCTGAGACTCTTTAGCCCAACCTCAGATCACTTCCTGTGTATGATGTTAGTACCCTCAACTACAGGCACATTTTCTGTGCTTCAGTTGTCTGTCTGGATGTTTTATCCTTCCACATATTCCCCTCCTTCTAAGCATGGGTAAGAAGTATCGAGTGATGTCAAAATCATTAGTCCTTTGAGACTTTATCCAACTTCTTATTTGTTACACTCTGGACCAGGATGATCAAAGGACAATTGTAAATATAAATATATAGCAGTCAGGTTTAGAGAGAGTTGACTGGAAACAGAGCAGCAAGGACGGCAAGCAACTGTCTTACAAAGCTCAGTCCATTAACTCCCCGCTTGTGTTCTGAACTGATTTGATGACAGCACACCAGCAAGTATTTACCACAGAAGTCCTCAGGTCAGAAAATGGGCTGTTTTGAGTCACAAGCAAGTAGTTCTGAGAACCTACTCCTTGATTGGTTTAAGGTTTCAAAGTGATGGATGTGTATATAGGGCAGGCCAGAGGTTGGGGAAGGAGAGAGGGGAAAGAAGAGAAGAGACAGAGGAGAGGGAGAGGGAGATGTAGAGGAAGAGATAAAATGGAAAATAATCCCATTGCATCTAATGAGGCCCCACTGGACTAGCACTGAGTCCAAATCAAAATCTCAAAGGTGAGAGCAGAAAGCTCACATTTCCAGAATCAGGTCTATCCCAGTGGGTCAGAAAACACCTGACATTTACTTCTTCTAAATTTCAGAGACATCTCCTGGGAGCCAAAACCCTTTTGTTCCAAGAGAAAAGTAGAAACAGCTAGTTCAGTAACCCACTGGCCTGCTTAGCCAAATTACTACTGAGAATTAGATTTGAAGTAACAGACAGCTAAGGCAGCAGGGCAGGCTCTAGATAAATTCTAGAACCTAGAGAAATCCAGGGAGAATTCTTGCCACAAGAGGGAGCAGTGGAGTTTGGATGGATGGGAGATCATTGGGTAGATAGTCTCACTGGGGCAGGGGGTGTCTAAGGAACCATGAGGTGCTGAAGGAAATCTAACTGTGAAGTTCTAATTGTACTGAATGATGATTTAGTAATAGACATTTAACTTTAACAGACAAAAAACAGCACATAGTTTCCTCAGTTCTTAACAACTGTAAAGCAACAATATTTTTATTTGAAAGAAAAAATACATACACATTGCAAAACATACAAAGCATGCAACCTACTGGTTCTAATATCTTTGTTCTGTCTGTACATTCCTCACTCCATATTTAGTTTCTGTTTTGCTTTGGATCTTGCTTAAGTCCATGTTGTTAGAGCAGCCCGCTTCTCACAGACACACTGTTTTACCTGAAGGCATCATGCAGAATGACTGGTCATACATGAGAATGACATATATGAGGGCAAAAATGAGACAGCCTCATCCATGAGGGGAGTCAGTCCTTTATTTTGCTCCTGCGGGCCTTCCTTTTTGCTATGCACTCCCTTTAAAGGAGGAATGCAACTTGATGGAAACTACAGAGTTTTTCTCATCATTTATTTTGTCGAAGAAATTAAGCAGAAAGAGGGAAGGAACCATGCATTTACTTTGTAAGATAAATAAATGTCTATTTTTATCTGATCAAAACATGTTAAATATAGCCTGTTAACAAATGCTGAAGCTCTTGAATACATCTGATTGCTTTAGAACGTAGCTGGAAAGAGCAGCTCCTGTAATCCTGCATATTAATCCTGTAGGCATACCTCAACTTCCTTTCATAATTTTATCTGGAGTTAGAACCCTGATGCCACTGTTTTTCTCTTTTATTTATTTTTTCTTTTCTTTTCATGATCAACAGAAGGGCTATCTTGTTTTTAATCTCAATGGAAAATGATTCGGTAGAAATCATTACCTAGTAATGGTTAGGTCTACAGATAGATGGGAGCATGGAGTACAGCCTTCCTATGCCTTTAGCTCACCACTCTCCTCACCCAGCCTGTTAGGCTTTCAAGACAGTGTAGATTAAGGCGGTTAGTTTCTGGACACTCACATCCTCTGTAACCTCTGGTCAGCTCAATAATGAATGATGGTTTACCAATGCTCAGCTGTTTCCCCCTCTCTCTATTCTTCTAGGCACTAATCATTCATTTTTAATAAAACACAACAGCCATTTTAAATGGGGGAACCATCAGTGATCTTTTATAGTAAGGGAAATCTTAACTAATGAGACCTGAAAGTCAAATGGAATCCTTCAAGCTGGCAGAATTTGTAAAATGAAAACGACTTAAGAAAGCTCATCTTGCTGAAGGCACTGGGTCCTCCTCCACTAGCTCACTCACAAAGCCCAAAGATGGAGCAAGCTGTCCCTCCTTCCCCCTGCCTCCACACTCGGCTAAACGCCCAAATTAAGCAAGTTTAACAAACCCAGAAAGCAAAATCCAAGTAACACAGGATTTGAAAGAGGAACCCCAAACCAGTCATCTTTTTTCTGGCTTTGTGTTCTTAACTGAAATGAATGAAGCATCTAGATTCATTTTCCTCCCTCTTTTTCTGCAGGAGAGCTCTGGGAAAGAGGGAGCCTGTACATACGTGTGCCGCTGTGTGTGTGGGGGGCATACTTTCAGAATCCCCCCCCCCGGAAATCTTCACAGGGCAGGTCGTGGGATTGTGGATGTTCAACTGCTCATGTTTGGATATGCAAAGCGCTGCCCTGAAGCAGATCTGAACCCAATCTCCACCTCCTCAGCCTGAGACTCCATGATCAGGACGCCTGAACTCTCTTCATCACATCTCTCATTTTTTAAAAAGCTTCTTCCACTACACCTCCCACGATATCCTTTTTTTCTCTTTTTAGTCTTTACACCTCCAGCAGGACAAAGTTTGTGTTGTTATATTCACAACCACTAGTGGCTGACTACCAGAGAGAGGCAGAGAGCGCCTTCCAGGGAGCCAGGCTGAGTGGGGTTAAAACCATACCTGGTTCAAAAGCCTGGCTTTCTGCCCCTGCTCACAGACAGCATGCAACATTGCTCTCTCCCCAAAAGTCTTTGTTAAATTTGATCACTGCTGCTCTTGACTCAAGCAGTAACACTTTATTTGGGGAGGGAAATACGAATTGTCAGCAAGTCATTCATTAGAGACAGAATCCATGGGAAAGGGGGTTCAGGATGCTCATATGTTGATTTTTTTTAAAGCATCCCCAGGGCTGATTTGGGTTCTCTAGCTGACTGTCCATCTCTAAGACCTCCCCCTTCCACTCGAAGGAGGAGCCAAGGGGATCCTTGCATCTCAGAACAGAGATCATTTCCCCAAGAGCCAGCACAGCCCCGAGGAGGCACATAATGCAGCTGTAAAGTTCCCTTTGAATCCCTTGGGAAAGACGCCCGTGTGTGCAGAATCCCCGAGCCATACCAAGGCACAGTGCCCGGAGACGCGGGTACCACAGCCCACTCCCCACCAATTTTTCTCTTGCTTTCCCCTCTACCGGGCCACACCTCCCTCCTCGCCGCAGTTCTCGCAAAAGAGTACCCAGTTACACTCCAGAAGAGGTGGCTCCCAAGTGTGCCTTGGGGAAGACCCCAGGGATTACCGGGAGGAAGGATGACCACAAGAGGAGCCCTGTGGGTGGGGACGTCTGGATCTCCGGCAGCGCCGCTTGCTTTCCGGGTGGACTTAGCTCTTCGCGCCCTGAATCCTCGGAGCCGAGCCCAGCTCAGGGTGCAGCATCCCTCCTAGCAGCCAGCCCTTTTTTCCTTCAGCAGCCGGCGCCGGCGGGCGGGTATCCTCACGCCCAGAACAATTTCCCTCTTGGAGAGGCATAGACACCCAGAAAAATGTGCAGATTCGCGCATGCACACATGCGCACATACACACACACACACACACACGCACACACACACACCCCACCACCACAACCACCACCACACACAAACACACGCGCGCGCACACACACGTACAATTCAGAAGCTACTCTTGCTTAAATGCAGGGAAGCGCAACCTGGGGAACAGCAGAGGACAGTTCCCGCGTCTCCCCATTGCCTCTCTCGGCCGGGATCAGATCCTACCTGGCGGGCGTGGATGGATTCTCTCCCCGGGTCCTCCACGCTGGTTGGAAACCCGGCGCGCTCACTGCTTTTTAAAATAGCTCGCGATCAGGAAGAGGTCGCTCCCATCTTCTGCGAGAAGCACAAAGCAGGCGGCGGCGCGGCGGCCCGACTCCGGTGCAGCGCCCGCGCGAGCAGGAGCGGCGGCGGC